GGAGTCTAGTCAGAAAGGCCCTTCACAACCAGCAATTGGATGATTTGGGAGTTCAGGTGGTGCTTCCTTAAGGAGGCAATTCTCACTGCTCAAAAAGAGGCCATCCCCACGTGGTCAAAAAGAGGGAAAGGGGCCAAGAGACCCGCTTGGCTCAACAGAGACATTAGGGAACTTCTGAAAAAGAAAAAAGTATATATGCAATGGAAAAATGGTTCAGCATCCAGAGAGGAGTACACTCATATGGCCAGGGTCTGCAGGTATGAGAAGGAAAGAAAAGGCATGCATGGAGATCAAACTAGCAACCAAAATAAAAGACAACAAAAAGTCCTTCTATAGGTACATAGGGAGGAAGAGAAAAATCAAGCTTGACTGTGGAACCCCTACTAAGTATGGAAGGGCAGCCCACAGTTGATCCCTGCAAAAAGGCAGAGCTCCTAAATGCTTATTTTCACATCAGTAGTCTTGAAATCAGATGGGAACCAGTCACCTGTCCAGGGGCCCAAAGAATATGGAGAAGACAGGAGTCCACATGAAATCAGTCCTGAACAGGTGAAGGTACTCTTAGAACATTTGGACTTTTTCAAGTCTGTTGGACCTGCTTCTGAGAGTCCTGAAATAACTGGCTGAGCTCATAGTGGGGCCTCTGGCAAGGCTGTTCGAAGAGTCATGGAACTCAGGAGTGGTCTCAAACAATTGGAAGAAGGCTAACTTGTTACCCATCTTTAAGAAAGGAAAGAGGGATGACCCTGCAAACTATAGACCGGTCAGTCTGACTTCAGTCCTGGGAAAAATCTTTGAAAAGATTGTCAAGGAGGCCATTCACCACAAGCTCATAATTGGTTTGTTGAAGGGAGGTCATGCCTAACAAACCTGGCATCCTTTTATGACCAGGTAACTAATCAGCTGGACATGGGACATGAGGTTGAGATCATCTACCTAGACTTCAGCAAGGCCTTTGATTCTGTTCTCCATGAAATTCTCTCAATTAAGTTGGAGGGTACTGGCCTAGACCAGTCTACAGTGAGGTGGGTTGGCAACTGGCTCAGAGGTCAATCCCAGTGAGTTGTAATCAATGGGAGGGCGATCTCCAGTGGTGTCCCCTAGCAATCAGTACTTGGGTCCATGCTCTTTAACATCTTTATCAATTACTTGGATGAGGGAGTGGAAAGCGCAGTGATTATATTTGCTGGTCCTATGGGCTGAACACAATCAGATGAGGTTCAGTAGGGACAAGTGCCGGGTCCTTCATCTGGGTAGGAAGAACCTTCACCATAACCATACGATGGGTGGTGGTCCAGTGACTGGCACTTCACCTGAATGGGACTTGGAGGTGACAATTGACCAGAAGATGAATATGAGCCATCAGTGCAATGAAGTCACCAGCAGGGCAAACAGAACTCTGGCCTGCATCAGCCAACGTGTTGCCAATAGATCCAGAGAGGTGCTCCTCCCCCGCTATTTGGCATTGGTGAGGCCACAGCTGGAGTACTGTGTCCAGTTCGGAACACCACACTTCAAGAAGGATGTGTATAAGTTTGAAAGGGTAGAAGGGCCACCTGTATGATCAGGGGCCTAGAGGATAGGCCCTACTAGGAGAGACTCCAGGAACTGGGTGTGTTCAGTCTGAGTAAGAGAAGACTGAGAGGTGACTTGATAGCCATCTACAAGTATGTTAGGGACAAGCACCAAGATCTAGGGGAGCAACTCTTCAGAAAGGTACCCCTTGGGAGGATGAGGACCAATGGGCACAAGCTAGTTGTGGAAAAATTTAGGCTAGACACAAGGAAAAACTTCTTTTCCGTAAGGGTATCTAGAATCTGGAACACACTCCCAGGAGAGGTGGTGCAGTCACCATCCCTGGAGGAGGTGGTTGGACAAGTACCTCGTTGAGCTCACTTGAACCCAATTACCTCCTGCCCATGGAGGGGACCGGATTTGATGATCTTACAAGTCCCTTCTGGTCCTTCTATTCTATGATTCTATGGCAGGCAAGTAACAAGGAAGCCAGCAGTGGCCTGGGAAAAGAGATATAGATACATCACACTTGTTGACAGATAAATTAAACTAATAAACCACCAGGACTTGATGGCATTCAAACTAAAGCAGTGATTTCTCAACCTTTTTAGATGTGGGGCACCCATCCTTTGACCTGAGGCATGCCTCCATAACTTTTGTGAATTGAGCAGCATCATATTTCAAAAAATTTATTACACTGCTTACCTCCTTGCAGTGGGGGCAGGGCAATGACCAGGCAGGAATGAAAGTGAGCCTACACACTTTTCTCCTTGTACTGGTTTCTCATACCTTGTAACACCTTTCAAAAGACCTCATGGTACCCAAGGATGCCAAGTATGCAACCTATTGCTAAAAACAGCCTTGGTACCATGTCATATGTCCTTAGTATGAAGTAACTGAATTTCTGGGGGATTCTTACTCCTGTTGGAGCTGGCAGTAAATTAACCTTATAATAAACTGCATTATGGGATGTGCTATGCTTTCTTCTTATGCTTGCAACTGAGGTCCAAGATCTTACCTTCTTATATCAGGAATGCTTATTTTGGTGGATGACAATGGTGCATATCTTGCCGAGTACCCCTGAACCTTTGTAAACAAGAAAGTACTGCAAGCAGGAATAAATCCTACTGATTTTTTTTCAATACTAAAGAATAAACTATTAAAAGTAGAGTCAGCTTTTTCTGATATTGTTTCAAACTGAGATTTTGAACAATCCAAAGCTTAGACACCCACTACACATTGACTGTCCAACATTGTATTTTCAATACTTAATAAATTAGTGTAGCCACTAAATACATTTTCAACATAAATGAAGCACTGTTGGAAAATATAAATCAGAGGAGTCCTACTAAATATGTAAACTAAAAGTGATTATTTCAAGGACAGCAAAACAAGTTTTAAATGTTTTATTTTAGAATTAGCCTTACATGTGCAGTTGTACTATACACAACTACAGAATATTTGTTGTTTTTCAGCGCATGTGGTCCAATACAAATTCTTAAGACAGTTAAATTTCACATAAAAAGTGCTAGTATATATTTGTACAACCCTGCTTAGTAATTTTTGCTAAAGCGAGTACCTTTTTATAGTCAGCATTTTTCTCCAAGAAAATATTGGTCAGTATTTCAAAACCTACTCTTCTCAATTCTGCACATAATTTGGACTACTGTAGATGAATTTGTTGCATTATATACTGTATTTTTACATGTCACCATAAAGTTCAAAGCAAATGAAGTGCAGCATGTCTGGAGGCACAGTTCTAAGATTTTCTATTATTCTGATTTTCAAAAACTGCAAAAGCACCTATACAGCTCAATCAGTCACTGCTCTCCCTGCTAAACTAAATATCTCTCTTTCACCTAAGGTGTGACCCAGAGCTAACTGAAGTCAACAGAATAGACATCAATTTGTTTTGGGGCAGGCTTAGATACCTAAGTTGGGAATAAAGGATTTCAAACTTTAACCTTACACCCTAAGCATAATTTAACAAAGTCCGTTAATTTTTTTTTGGTTAGTACTTTTAAATAACATGTATTATAGGACAAAATTTCCGGTGACCTGACCTCTTTCTTTGTTATACAAGGTTAAAACATTAAGTTTGAGGTATTGAACTTTATGTGCACACACTCAGCAGCACCAGTATCTTCTACCTCATGGCTAGACATACAGGGACATATTTTGTATGTCACAACTAAAATTGGTCTCCTGGATTTTGTGTTGTTTAGATGGCAATATTAATATAGCCACAGACCACATTTGGCCCAGTACTCTGTCTAAGCCCAATCACAACAATCTCTGCTCCAGTAACCATACAATCCAATGCTTTTTTATAGCTCTTTGTATAACCACTGTTACTGACTAGCTAACACTATTTGCACCCAAAATAGTGCTATTCTGTTTCAAACAGCGTGAGACCATGATAATCTGTTCCACCATTAGATAGCAAAGTAAATTGCATATAATTAAGCCAACAGTTTTCATGAATCCACTTACCTACAATATGAAATTTGAGCTTGTGGGATATATGTATAGGAAATATTCCAGCATCTAGGACTTTGTCTTCCTATGGAAGTTGTCAAGAATGTCATTCTTAAATGGTAAAAATCTAGTTAGTGTCTTCTGAAGATACAGCCTTTGAATCCCATACTTATTTGCTGTGTAGCACATCTGTGGTCACTCTGAGGCCTCTGATTTGAAATAGCTGGTTCTTCTGAGCATAGCTAAGAAAACTGCAGCAAGTGAGCAGGCAGAAAGTACTGAAAACCACATTTCCTCAAAATGTGCTATGCTCTTAACAAGCATGTTTTGTCACTCTCCAGATTTTCTGTTACATTGATCATCACTGTAGCATACCTGACAGAATCAACTTATGAACCTAACTCTTCTCTCACATGTATTAGAAACAATATTAAAGTAATATGCCCAAGGGAAAAAAACACTGGAGGTGGCAGGAAAATCAACATAATTTTTTTAATATAAAACTCAAGCATATACCAAAACACTTATAAAACCGTGGCTTAGAGTTGAAAAAGACCCTAAAATAAGAGAGTGGAGAAAGATCTCCCTGTACCCACCCTAGTTTCTCTGAGCATTCCTGTAAGTAGGCATTTGTGAAACTTTTTGTTGTGTATTAAACAAATCCCAATCTAGCACATCAATGGTATTAAGAGATGTAATTTGAAACAAAAGAAGTGTCCAATTGTAGTATCCATACAAAGCTCACATACTCATCTCTCATCACTGGTCAAGAATGGCTTACTCTTTGGTCATGCAAACTCTCTAGTACTCAAACTACGCTGAAAGGACATTAATGTTACAAACTATAGTTAGGAAATGCCACAATTAAGGTTGCAAGGACAACCTTAATTTGGCACCTTTATGATATAGTATTTATGTGTTTGTTTCTTCAGGGCCCCTGATAGTACATATTGCTCACAGAATGAGCAGCTATAGGTTTATCCTTACCCTCAAATGCATGATCCATGTATTTACAGCACACCCATCTAACTCTACTGAATACAGAATTATTGTCATTGTGCATTTCTTTGGCTTCAGTGGGGTTGCAATCTTTTAGAACAGTCCTGAATTTGGCCCAGTTTCTCCACAAAATAAGGTTTACTAATATCAGCAAAATAAAAACAATATATTAGTTCTACAGCTAATGCCTGTACTTTGATTTCCCCAATGCTGGTACTCATTAAAGTCCAGATTCTGAATTCAGATTCTGAATTCAGTTACCAGGGTGTCATCCCAACTCCATGTCTATTCTAGCATACCTGAGATCAGAATCTAGGCATCAGTTGTTGGATAAAGTCTATTTTTATCACTCTGAGAAGCCAAGCAACCTGAGGGGTCAGTCTTTGCGTTTCCTGTTTACATATTGCTGGCTTTTACACCTGGTCCTGTGAGATACATAGGAGTTGACTCTACCACAGTTTACCCACCACACAACTAGGGTTGAATTGGGCACATGATCATTTCAACATTTTTCCAGGTCAGTGTGTACATGTAAGGGGCATGTTCAGACTTCAGGTCATATCCTACTTCCATTAGTGACGCAAGTAGATTCAGACCGCCAAATGCTGCCCTGACTTAACCTCTGTGTAACCCCAGTGACTTGAATGGCATTGTGTGGAGAGAGACAGGGAAGAATTTGGCTCTTTACCTTCACTAAGAGTACTCATATGAGTAAGGCAAACAAGATTTGGCCCTTCCATGGCTGCTGATAGGTCTAATTTAGGTAGTAGAATGGTAAAACCAGAATTTATATTGGTACACCATGATTTTGTTTTACAAGATGTTTCTCAGTTTGGGTCATTCAAACACCATCTTTCTGAGCTTTAAATTATACAGCAGGTTTTAGATGTGGGAGCTGTTCCTCCATTGCAAGCTAATGCCGCTCCTGTGAGAAAAAAGACAAGTATTTAGATATGCATCCACAAATGTTCCAACACCACTGTAATTTGAGATACTTATCAATGGAAAGTCATTTTACTTTTTAAAGTTTTAAGATAGTGACAAACATGTTATGAATTCCTAGATAGTCAAGATATTTGTTATACAAAATAGTCTGCGCTCCAAAATGCTTTTGAATACTTCTCTGAGGTCCAGTGAAAACTTTCTGATGTAGTTTTTGTCAAAAAATGCCGATTTGACAAAACGTATCCATTTCCCATAGGAAAATAAAGCTTATCAAAGTATTTGTGTTATTCTGATTTATAAAAAAGTAGGAATTAAATGTTTAGATAAGATCAGTTTTATTTACAGAACTTTTTTTTTTTAATTTGGGGGATATTTATTTTTTTGTTTCCAGTTTGGGGCAAAAAAGACATTTGGAAATGGTGGGATTTTCCATGAACTAACCACTTTGAGGTTTTCCTAATTCTCGGTCTGACTTCTGGAGAGAGGCAGCTGGAGAAGATGATGCATCTACGCTTCCAGTCCTGGAAACCCCCAAAATTTACTAAGGCTCTGGTTAGGCTCCTGTTGAAGCCAATGGAAAGGTTGCAGGGAGCTGGACTGGGTCCAGAAAGAAGCACAGATTAAAACAAACTAAACTGCACACACATGAAATTGTCTTATTTTCAGCAGTCTTGGCATGAAAGAAACTACTACACTGCAATTCTTATTTTAGGGAGTAAATTGCATTTCCTTTAGCTTGCCCTATTATGCAGCTTTTTACAGATGCAACTGGTTCAGAATTACAAATAGGTGAAAGGTGATTTACACAGGGTTTTATCTGGAAAAAAAATATGTTTGCAAGTAGATTTAACCAAGATATGAGAATATCACAAAATTTCTCACCTTTCTTTTCAGCTGCTTTTTCTGCTGCCTTTTTCTTCTCTTCTTCAATTGCTTTCATTTTTGCATCATACTCATCAGCACGGCTCTTCCATTCCTTTCTGTTGTTCAGCAACCCATCCAGCATTGGCTGGATTTCCGGGTGGAAACGAGAAAATTCCTGGACCAAACGTATGCACAAAATAATTCAATGTGTACTTAGCCCTGTCTGCTCATACATGAACGTTATATTATTTTATACAAGTTTAAGCATGTGTGATTAGGGAAGCAGCCAGATATCTTACCACCGCCTCGGTAGGAAGTTACTTAGAAGGAACGTTTACACTTGGGTTCAAAACAGATTAGAAAAAAGAAGAAATAGTCTGACCAGGTTGGAGGAGGGTTTTGTTTCTTTGCAGACCTGCCAACTCCTCTAAATTGTGGGAAACTCTGATGAGAACCCCATGTGCTTGGATGTATTTCCATTTTCTACCTTCCAGGGTGCAGCACAGCACTACTGCTGCGGCTGCATCCTGTGCTGAAGGATGGGTTGGTTCCCCAAGGAAGAAGCCCCAAATACCACAAAACTCTAAGACCTCATGTCAGGTAATCCTAATACCGTTTTGCCTCAAAGAGAGTAGTAGGAGCCAGAAAGGCAAATGGCCCAGGCAAAGTCTATGACTGATGTACATCCTGTAAAGAGATATTGGGGTAGGGGTAATACAGAATAATGGGCAGGAGGAGGGGGAAGATGTGTGAACTGAAGAGTCCTTGAGAATGCGCTGGAGTTGCAGAATGAAATAGAGGGGGTTTCAGGGAATGGTGTTTGAGCTCAAAAGTGATGGTAGTAGTGATTAGAATGGGACAGGAAGGGGAAAGGAAAAGAGACTTCAGCTTTTCTTTCTCCAATCCCCCCCAGTCAAAACCTTGCTCCTCTCTGGGAACATCCCTTTCTAATTTTATAAATCAAGAAGTCGGTAATATTGGAAGAGTGGTGGAGGCAAAGAGCACTCTTGGCCAGGAGCAAGGGCA